TCTCTTTAAAAGTTGTATAGCCTATATAAGGCTATAAAATATGTAATTTCTTTTTTCAGATCCAGCACAAATCATTCAGAGCTGTTATTTGTAAATTCCGTCTGTATCTCCTCGTGTTGTTCTTAAATTATATACAATAACCAACATCAATAACTTTTGTTATCAATACATTGGAGTCACTAAAATCATTAATTGTTGACCGACAAATTTTTACTTTGAGCACCTGTTTTTCTAGTTCAAAAAATTAAGACTCTCAAGAAGTATTTCCAAACGCATGTTTTCTATTATACTAACAGCTTCCATGTACACTATAATATTAAAAATAACTTTAAAATCTAAAGTTTCTTATTGGACAGTTTTGAAACTCGAAAATAGCCCATTCTATTTGAGTTAAAAATTGGTCCTCCTTCAGCAATTTAAAATTTTAATAATTTAATACTGTCAGTTTTCATAAGCAGGTATATCACATGAAAGATTTTAATTCCATTAATGGCCAGTGGCATTGGCTCCACTAAAGGCAAAAAAATATCAAAGACAAACTTATTAGAGAGATAATGTACAATATAATGCTAAAATGATTTACAATACTGCCTTCTATGAGAAAAGGAAAACAATGAAATCTGCCGCCCCAATTAGTAAAACTGCTACTACACTCCTCTTCATTGAACAAAAGAGGCTTACAATGTCTTTTGGGGGGATATGACAGCTGGTGGTGGTCTTTTTGGGGTAATCAGATGTAATAGCTCGTGGTATGTGCGGGAGAGCAAGTTATTTTCCTGTCATTGACTATATTTATTCGACAGGCAATAGATGGAGAGCACAAGTAAGTAAAAGAAGAAATACAAAGTTAGTGGGCGAAAAAATCCAGAACATTGTATGCCACATGTTGTCCCAGAGTGGTGATCTGGCTCCAAATTCTCAGAGATATAGCACTGACTGCGTGCAAGGGAGATTCGGGAATTAAAATCCAATACCATCTTTAAACTATAACACCATGTGCAGAACTAGCATGCAACCTCTCATCATGGTATCTCAAACACTAATACGACCATTTTTATGTTACAGAGAGAAGCGTGGTTTCGTCTGTAAGAGCAATGTCGGGCCATTCAGTTGTCCACGTCCTCAATGCAATGCACTATTGCAGAACCAAGCACTTGAAATTTAGAGACAAAGGTTAATAGCAGCAATGGATTCCATGCAGATATTCCATTGTGCTACAAACGCCGTCTAATTATAAATATGGACACATTGATTGTTGGGCAACACACCACTTTTGTTATGATTAGGTTCTTAATGCGGAAAGTGATGCATCAGTATCATTGACATTGTACATATATCTGTCATTGTGTATAGTAATGCAAAACAATTTTGAAGCATTGATATTGGTTAAACGTTTCTTCCTGCACCTATTGATTACAGGTTCATATGTCTATTATTTGATAACATCCGACACGATCAATAATTTCTCAGAAGAATAATACTTATTCTCTACAGGCAACAACTCTTCTACACTCAGAAACGTACTCGAATGACACTCATATTCGAGGCACACTGAAGGTTCTCACACCAAAAGTCCACACAAAAAAAAAAGCACTTGCACTGCATAATTCATTATGTTCGCTAATTACATAGAGCTTGGTGGTATAACTATAGTATCATATAATGGGCATCCACACTGAGAAATATTAATCAATTGCATATGCTATCGAAGTATACGTACGTTGAAAAATTCACGTGGTTTGGATGCTTCTTTCATGTTATTACATTTTGCGTTGCCAGCAAATGTAATTACTTTAATGCCTTTCTAGCTTATTTCTTAAGGTAGTTTTATTTTAGCTGAAAGTTTTATTTAACTCTTTAAAATAATACAATATTTTTACTTCATCATATTAAATTCTATTGTTTGTTTCGTATATTAAATAAATGACATTTAGAAATTATAATCTAGCACAAAAAATGCATTCTCAACCAAGTATTATAGAATTCTGAATCACCCAAAAAATTAATTGAAAGTTGAAAAAATCTAACAATGTGCACGATTAATTATTTTGTTTTACCTGTTGAAAATGTAAGGAACCGACAAGTTAACCTAAATCATTTCTGAGATGAAAATTTTCTTTTTCATCCTTTTTGAAAAACTTTGCAAATATTTTACATCAATTTACTACATATATCTTTAAAAAAGCATTTTTCATTATTATTTTTTTCCTTTGATATTCACACTTACCAGATAACAATACATGAAAAATCAATGACTTTGATGTAAAACGGTTTGTAAGGGGAATAGATTTCTAAAATCACGCATTGCTTAGAAATATTGAAACAATGTCATTTATTTGCATATTGAAACTGACTATGCAAATTCAAAGAAATAAATCAAAAGCTCAACTTTCTTAAAATATTTTTTAAATAAGTTCTTTTGATAACTTATATTCCAAAATTCTCCTGAAAGCCATGTGAAAGTAGAAAAATATGAAGAAATGAGCATGAACTTTAAATAAAATTCCTGTTTATTTAGGTACTATAGTGTTCGAAATAATTCGGACAAACATCTTTTCCTTGTTTAAGTCGGTATGTGATTACCAGTGATGACTCAAACTGCATAAAATCAGTTATATTTGTCTCGAAGTAGTGTGAAGGATCGACATTTACTAAAATTTACTTTGTTTTAGTGTATGGGTAACTCAGTTGTGAGACTTTCAGTATGGCAGCTGGTCGCTATAATTTTGCGTTCCGTGTAACACGTGTTACTTTTGTGTGATTGTTCAAAGATAAATATTACTCCGAGGAAGCGTTCTAAAATAGTCGTTCTTATTGAACAAACTTCTATGAGTATAAGGGGCATAGCAACTGTAGTTGATGTGGGCAAATCAAGTGTTTCAAGAATTTTAAGAACATTTCAGGATTCCAGATCATCGCCTCCAAAAAGAAAAGTGAAAATGTGGGCACTAATGGAAAACTACCCCAAGAACTAATATGATTCTAGAAATAAATAGAAGGAAGACAGTCACACAGACCTTCGAAGGAATTTATTGGGTTATGGTGTTGAAATGAGTACCTCAACTATATGGAAAATGCTTTTGGAAGTTTGCCGTAAGGCAACAAGACCGAAAAAAAAGCAATTTCTAATTCAATAAAAATGATGAAAAAACGTTTAGCATGGTCCAAAAATACCAACCATAGACTGTTAACAACTGGAAGAAGGTGGTTTTCAGTCATGAAATATATTAATTTGTGCAGGGATACAAATCAAATACAGTTAGAAGAAGTGATGGTGAAACTCTACTACCGCATCGTATCTAATGGACTGTAAAATACCCTTTTAAACCGACTTTTTGGAATTTTTTCCTAACAAATAGCATTGGGGAATCTCAGTTTCTCTTAAAGGCATGATGAATTCTGCCAAATACATAGACATTTTACTCAGTAGATTGTTCCATTCATGTAAACATTTGAGAGAACATTTCAACATGACTTGCCCCCTTGTCACACTTCGAAATAATTCCAGACTTTTAGGCGGGGAAATAAAATAAAAGTGCCTGATTAGGCTGGTAATTCACTAGATCTAAATTCTATTGAGAACTTATGGCCTGTTCTCAAGAATCATGTAGCTAAGATGAATTCAATGACAACAGAACAAATGATAAAATGTGTTATACAAATGTGGTTACACAATGATGAAATCAAGAACATGTGAGTTATATTAGAGGAATCAATGCCAAGAAGTGTTGAAAAGGTCATTTCTACTGAAGGAGGATATACTTCGTACTGATATAGAGATTTTTCAGTCTACTTAAGGTTCGCAATGACTAAAAACTAAGGGTCTTAAAAAAATCTTTCCTCCCCCCCATTTGTCCCAATTAATTCGAATAGTACAGTATTAATCAATGAATAATTTTTTCTTCATTCGTAGAATTTAACAATATTCAACGACAAATATTTGGATATAGTACATTTGTATCAAAAACTCTATCAATGTACAGTAATATTTAATCTAAAACATTTAACATTCTTTTAATCAAAACTTCTTTAGAATTGTTTTTGCAATACTTGGATATAACTCAAAAATATATTGCAGTGGATCTTCCCAAGATCTGTGTTGATATACAGATGAAATGTAAGAATTTGATTTCTGAGTATTTGATTTCTGAAAAATCTCTGCTCCGATGCAAAAGTACAAGTTTTAGCCAAGACAAATCACAAAATAAAAAATATTATTTAAATAATTTTATAAATCAAATAACTTTATATTAATTGTAAATAATCAAGGACGTTATATATCTGACAGAACCAGTAAAGACGCAGACCAACTGAAATGAGGAACATCCCTCTGATACAACTACTGTAGTTCTTTAAGTGAGTAAACCTCGAAAATATTTCTTCTAAAAAGAGCATTAGAATCAGTTCAAATAAACCTCTTGACTCGCTGATTGTAACAACCTTTGAACTATCAGCAGTTCCCTGTTTCTATCCTCCTTTTTCTACATCATTTCGCTTTACATAAACACTCTTATTAACATATTACGTTTCTTCTGTAAGAAGGTGGAAGCTAAAGCTTCTAATAACATCAAAGAATATCCCAAATTAGTTTCAAAAGGGAAGTCTTTCGCGATACAGCCGGTTATAATCTTTGAAATGTAGCTTCAAAGGTTGCAATATTTAAAACTATTTCCCATTTTTTCATACTTTTATCTGAAAAATTGTACAAAGTACTAAAAACAAGTAATAAAAAAAATTAAGTCAATTCCTACTTAGGTCAACAAAGAAAAATTTTATTTTAGTTATTTTTTATGAAATAGTTACAATTATATAAATATGTATATACATATGACAGAATCACAATATTAAGTGACAAAATAGAAAGTGATTTTTCTTGCAAAATTTTCTATATGGGGGTGTTGTACTATCTTTTTGTTTTTTACTATTTATTCATTTATTAGATTTAATTATTCTAATAAAATAGTATAGTAAAAAAAAATCACATTCTCAGAAATCAGGCTCTCTCATGTGGAATTCGAACCCACAAGTTTTGGATTAAAAGTCCAACGCGCTAACCATTGCGCAACAGGGACACAAGAAAAGATTTTCCTTCTCATATATGTTGTTGGACTATTATTTTTGTTTGTTACAATTTATTAATTTTTTTAATTTAATTAATGAATTAATGATTGAAAAAACTCTATTAACATCAAAAGTGTCATCCACTACATGTTAAAAAAAATGTATTTGAACTTGAATGGATGATTAGAAAGTATTGTATTAACGATTGAAAATTTGAACAAGATACTTGTATATATATACAGAGAGAGAGAGGGAGGGAGAGATAGTGAACTAATAGTAGGAATTGAAAAAGCAAATAAATTTTCTTTTCTGATAAATGTAATTAAATACACTGAAACAAAAGAACATTAATATTTTTTAATCTTAATAGTGACTGAAACAATCAGTGTGAAATCAAAAATTAAAGTTGTTTTAAACAAAAAATTTTGAAAAACAGAAAATATCAGGACAATTGAATATTTCTCACATTATTCATACATTTTACTCTTTTAAATACAATGCGCTTTCGAAATTTCCTAGATGATTTCCGAAATCCCAAGTTCTTGCTACTGTTAATACTCCTCGTGTCTGTGTTTAATGATACATTAAGAATTAATCTGAACGAAAATAAATAAATAAAAAATCCCAATCACAAGCAGAACTTAAAACTTCTCTTTATTCCTCCCGGTATGAAAGTAAAATTTCATTTTCACACGCTTTCGATGTTAAGAATCTCGTCTCTGATTTAGTGAGTAAAAGTAATTTACTCCAGATGGGAACTTAATTTTGCTTTAAACGAGTTAAAACTCAGAGCGACAATAAAAACCCAAATCCCCTTCCTTGCCATCCGAGACACTCATTCAATCAATGAAATTCTCTCTCTTCCCCAGACTCCTACCTGCCGCGAAAGTGCGATCTAAAAGAGCGCTTAAAATACGTGTTCTTAATATCCAACAGTAATCACAGCGCTGGGAAGTTAAAATTCCCCTGTGATCTGGTAAAGGCACGTAGCATGAGCCAGCTCAGAGCTTTGGCTCCAAAGGAAAAGCCAGGAGTCACGGCAATGTAATTGGGCGAAATAGCCGCAGCTTGGGGGAGCTTGCGGCTACGAGGAGGGTTATATTGGATGGTGACAGGATCTGGGCTGCCAATAACCCTAGAAAAGCGGGATCTAATGGCAGTCCCGCACTCTCCGGTTTACAACCCACACTCTCCTGATTGAAAAGGCGGATACCTTTCCCTTTAGGTTATTTACTGGCCAAAAAGGACTTTATCACCACTTCGTGCCATTGGCCTTGATTACGGCTGCCTCTCCGATTTGTCATAATACACAATACTGCTCTTTATTTTTGTCTTTTTCTTTGCTTTAAAAGTACTCCTGCGGAGATATTATTTTAGCGGTATTCGTGTCCGAGGATGAGTGGATTTAGTACAGAAGACATCGAATGCTGATGTCTGCCAGTCACGAAAAACCATCCGATTCGCATTCTTTACCATATATGTCGCCACAAGGAGTATATAGAGAGATAAAAAAGACTGTATGTAGAAAATGGATACGAATAAGTTATCAGTATACAACAGATAAAAAATGTCCAACAAAGGTTTTCTACTACGTTTTATGTCATTCGTCCGCTTTTTATTATCTTCTATGTGAATGTTAAAAAATCCTTTTTTTTGTTATGAACATTATATATATTGAATGCAGATGAATGAATTTTAAACTGTTCTTCTTTTGCAATATTATTTTAATTTTTTAAAAGATAATATATTTTTTTGTTATTTTTAAGAAATATTTCTGTAGTTAAAATTGCTTTATGAAGACTAAATTTAACTAGGGAGTTTTTTACGAACTCTTTAAAAAATTAAAGGAATACAGTTTCTTTTTTGAGCACACTTTCTTTCTTGCTTTCTTTCTACAATCATATATATGCACCTTCACCATCAACGTAGCTATTTCTTATCCAGTTTATCATTTTCACCCCACCCCTCATCAATATGAAAAAGTTACAATACATATTCTGTGAATAAAAACCTTTTTTAACTCAAACAACAAGGGTACATAATACAATTCAATTGACAAAAATAGAAAAAACATTCAAATCGCATTTTTAGCCTAATTATTCTTTATATAACTTTCTATAATTTCACAAGATTTGAAAGCTCTAAGTTAAGAAACTCCAGAGCTATGATAATTTTTATGTTCGTTTTTACTTACATGCTAATGGCAAATAAAACTTTAGACTGATTTATCTCAGAATAACTATTTATATTCATTTAAAATGCTAAGGCTTTTTTTCCTTATTGTGCAAATACATTGATATTTTTCCACCTATTGTTATTAGTACATGTAACAAAAGTTTGCTTGCATTTTTGAATCAAAGCAATACTTAATTTTTTTTAAATAGTTGAATTTACAATTTATACAGTTTTCCAAGAATTTTCAACTAACATTTATAAAAAAGTATTTTTCAAATAGCAATCATGTTAGCATAAAACCCATACCAACTTATGTTATACAACGTCTAATGCACTTGTAAATCAAATTTCATGAGTGTACGTCAATTATTGTAGGAAGAGTAGCATTTTAAAGTCTCTTCATAAGTTGTTAAATTTTTCTTTAAAAATTAAGTGGTTATCTTTTTGTAGTATTTAGAGAACACACACTTTTCCGTAATATATATGTGTGTGTGTGTTAAAAGTTTAAAAAAATGTAAAACCATAAAATCGAAGATTTTTTTACATAAATCATATCATGTCTTCTTAAGAAAGAAGATCTTTTTAAAATTAGTAAGACAAGAGAATTTCTTTGATAAAGCAATATTTAAATATGCTTAGTATTAATGTATTCAGTAAATTATTTTCGTTTATTAATTTTCTTTAGTGATTTTCAACTCTAAAAATATTCGATAAATAATATATTTTGTAAATTAAATCACACAACCAAAGAATATATATGCACTCAGTATATGTTATACATATCCAGTAATATTTTCAGTACATAGTAATAAACTTAACAAAAAAATTATAGTACTTAAAAATTAAACAGGTTCTCAGATAAAGGTTTCACAAAAATAAAACGTTATCTTAAAAATAAAGTTCCCCCTTATTTCTATTGGAAGCATAATCATTTTCATAAAAAAATGGAATTTATAGCATGATGTTTTAATGTAACGAGCTGAACATGTCTCTTGTTCTTATTCTAGAAATCTCAAGACCCTCAATTTCAGTTCTATACTGGTTTATCGAGATGAACTGAAACACATTCTTTTCACGTGAAATCGATATACTTTAATCTTTACACGTTTATTCCCAATCGTGTATGAGCTAATGCTTGAACGTATCAATTATCTTTTTCTAAACGGGAAATTTTTATTAATGATTCAGCAAACACTACGATTTGGGAAAGGGGAGTTTAATGTAATTGAGATTAATGGCATTCGGAAAAATAGAAATGAATGAAAAGCAACAAATTTTTATTTATTATATTCTTAAGGGGGATTCCAATTAGACTCCAAAGAGTTTTTTAATGTATTACGGTTACGCATTTCATGCTAAGAACTAACGATACACTAACGATCACTCAAACTTTTGCTGATACATTCGGAAACAGCCATGTAGAAAAAACACGATTATTTATAAGTATATTTCAATATAAGTACTACACGAGTTTTGGATTTTTTTTTCCTTACTTTAAATTATAAAAAAAAAAAATGTTTTTCCTCGGTTCAAAAAATACTACAACGGATAAACTGTTGAAAATAATGAAATTATTATGATTTGATTAAAAATAACATTTAATCGAGCAATATGAGAAGCTAAGAGAAAATACTATTAGATTCATTTTTAGTTATTAAAATTAAATATAATTAGTTTAAATGTTTAGTTATTTTAAGCACAATTTTTCTAATTAACTTGCAATAAGCTATAGTAAGTAGAAGTTTATTCATATTAGCACACGTTATTTGTAACTTAGAAATAAAATCAGATTAAATTTATAGTTTTATTTTTAAAAGAAATAAAAATATATGTGATTATTATCAAAAAGTTATTTATTTCTCTGACATCAAAATCCTCTTCTTCGTAAAAGATTCATTATTAAAAATTGAGAAGTTTAACAACTAAGATTTCTTTTCATCAAGTGTACAACTTTTTAAATTTGACCTTATAAAATGCTTGAGTAAAAAGGTATCTAAAAACATAGAAAACGATAGAGATAAAATTAACAGTTAAATCTTCAGATTATGCAATGCAACTTTTTTTTAATCTAATCTAAATTATCAACTTCATAAGAAAATATTCAATATTATTTTGAAAATATGGCATTGTTCTTCTGTTTTCTAAATAAAAAAAGTTTTTCCTTTCCCTTAAAAATTATTCGTAAACATTCTTGTTTAATTTTGGCTACAAATTTCCTGGTAATATACGAAAACATTAGTAACGTACTTATACAATTAATTAAATAATAGTTATTCAATGAAAAGAGCTGGGCAAAATATTACTTTTTCTATTCAATATTCAATTCCATTTTTAGTATCTCTAAAAAAAAGTCATAAGACTTTTTTTTAAATTTTTGGCCAGGGATTTCGAGTGCTATATGAGAGCCGTGGTAACATGGGGAGGGGGAGGTGTAGTCTCCGCAAGGGTACCACAGAGTACTTCAAAAATGTTAATCTTTTACTTAGAAACCGTTATACTTTAACTTGGGTATGGCGCCATCAGAAAACCTTTGCTTAAAAAAGACGGTGAAAGTCGAAAATGTTTGGAAACTATTGGTATATGCGAAGCTATTTTGAAAAAAAAAAATTGCTTGTTGAAAGGGGGGTGCAGCACATTAAATCTTTCGAAGCTCAAACGTTCTCCCATTGGTATGGCGTGGACATAAGAAGAGGGGGTCGCCAGCTCAGGTGTCGTCCACGTCACTTGACCATGGTTCAAGGTGACGAAGTGCGTTGCCAACAATCCTCGTGTAGCTTTCTTGTGTGGGACGCTAATATTACTCTTTCTCTCTTTTTCTCTATCTAGATACATAATTCAAAGT